ATTGCAGGATCCCATGGGAACAGGGATGGGGAGGGTGCTGAGGGCACAAGAGCAGCATCTTCCAGGTGGGAATGGGGGGATAGAACGGGAATGGGTGTGGGAATGGGCACAAGGAGGGTGCTGAGGGCACGAGAGCAGCATTTTCCAGGTGGGAATGGGGGGAATTGCAGAATCCCGTGGGAACAGGGGTGGGGAGGGTGCTGAGGGCACCAGAGCAGCATCTTCCAGGTGGGAATCATGAGATCCTACAGGAATGGGAATGGGGAGGGTGCTGAGGAGCATCTTCCAGGTGGGAATGTGGGGATCCCATGGAATGGGATGGGGAGGACGTTGGGGTGTCCAGGGAAGGGCAGCGAGGCCCGGGAAGGGTTTGGAGCAGCAGGAGAAGGGTCTGGAGAACTCCTGAGGGATCTGGGGGGGCTCATCCCGGAGCAAAGGAGGCTCAGGGGGCACCTTCTCCCTCTGGAATTCCCTGGCAGGAGGTTGGAGCTGGGAGGGGGCTCAGGGAAAACCAGGAGGAGAGGGAACACCTGGAGCTGTGCCAGGGGAGGGGCAGGTTGGGAATCAGGAGGAATTTCCCCCTGGAAAGGGGGGGTGGGCACTGGCAGGGGCTCCAGGGGGGTTTGGGAAGAGCCTGGACTGGGATCCACTGGGGGGGCCAGGGGGGTGTCCCTGATCCCGGATGATCCTGGATGATCCCAGAGCTCATTCCCGGCCCGGCCGATCCCGGGATCCCGTGGGAGGAGGTTTGGGAGCCGCTCCCAAGGCTCGGGTGGGCTCTGGGAATTGTTGGCTGTGGGATGGGGGGGATCCCGGGAGGGTCTTGGCTGATCCAGGGGATGTTTGGGAATGGGGCTGTGGGAGCGGGGGAGGATAATTCCCAGGAGAACTCCCAGGACAATTCCCAGGAGAATTTAGGATGATTCCTGGGAGTGCTTGGGATGATTCCCAGGAAGTCTTGGAATAACTCCCAGGACAATTCCCAGGAGAATTTAGGATGATTCCTGGAAGATCTTG